TGGCATAATTAGTTTGAATAACAGTTAAAACCATGTTTCCTCCCCTCCCCTCCCCTTGTATGTTACTGATTAAGGAGAGAAACAAGTTCACAATTTCCCAGTCTCTGGAAATAGGTTATCTACTTTATTTCTGTAGTGGGCAAATATTCAAAACTCAAATCAAGAAATTAAGTCTAACAAAAGACTGTTTTTTGTTTTTTCCCCTAATATTTGAATTTATTTACACTGAGACTTTCAAATGTTACAGAAATAAAATAATACTTAGTTACACCTTTAATTAATAGACTAGTGAATAGAATTAAAAGAACCGCAGATTGGTTTTTCCATACGTTTTTTGGAGCATTTTGGTTTAAAACTTTTTTTTTTTTTACATCCATTCTTTCACATGGAGTCAAGTACTACAGTTCCTCCAACATTCGGTAATGTCTTTTTCTTTAAAGATGTAAAACATTTCCATCCACTTTTTTTTTTAAACGTAATTCCAGTATAGTTAACATGCAGCGCCATGTTAGTTTCAGACATACAATATAGTGATTCAACACTTCTGTACATTACTCAGTGCTCACCTCCCATCTTGATAAGCGTACTCGTCAGTCCCCACCACCTCCCTCCCCTCTGGTAACTATTGGTTTGTTCTCTATAGTTAAGAGTCTGTTTTTTGTCTCTCTTTTCTTCGTTCATTTGTTTTGTTTCTTAAATTCCATATGTGAATGGAATCGTATATGGAATCTTGCAAATGGCAAGATTTTATTCTTTTTTATGGGTAATAGTGCATTATATATATATATATATATATATATATATATATATATATATATATATCTCACCTCTTTTTTATCCAACCATCTATTGATGACTGCTTGGGTTGGCTCTCTCACAAGCCTGCTGATTTTTAAAATTCTAGGTTTGAAGCCCCACTAGTTGTAAGAATTTGCAAAATTCAACCCCTCTGATTTTCAAAGCCAAATTTTAGGAGGATTCATCTTCCCCATATGGGCTTCCTGGTGGAAGGTCTGCTCCTCTCCCCTTGCCACACCTACAGAGTCCTTCCCTCCTTTGCACAGTCTGGCAGATCTGTGTAGCTCCCGACAGTGTCTCCACCCTTTCTGAGCTCTTCAGTGTGGCCTCTTCTCTCCCTTTAGCTGTGGAAAGTCTGTTCTGCCAGTCTTCGAGTCCCTTTCTGGGTTATTTACACTGATGTGGGTGTTATCAAGTTGTATCCATGGGACGAGGTGAGCTTAGGGTCCTCTTACTCTGACATCTTCTGTGGAAGTCCCAATATTAATGGTGTTTGGGGTTATGCGTTTACCCTTGGTTTCATCTGACTTACATCTCTGTTTACTTAGTTATTTTTACTTTGTTGGTGTGGGTGAAATGTGAAGTGATTATCTTTTGCTCTTTTATATAGGGTGTGTTTGCTAGCATCAGTCCCTTAATTCACTGATTTGCATAAAAATTACCACTGGAAAGATTTAATTGGCCCCAAAATACCACTTGTAGTTTGATATACCCCACTTATTCTCACTGATGTCTCTATGCTGAACTAGAGATTTTTTTTTAATGCGTCACTCCTTTGAGTTCTAATTCATGAACTACTTCATCGCTGAGCTTATAAGAAAGAAATGTAAATCACTGACCTACTTGAAAACTCACTTTTTCTGAACAGCTTCTTAGTTCCTAATTCCCTTTGTGCCTGGCATATTTTACTTGTGTAGAGCTTGTGAACATTTGGATTATGACTCCAAAGCCTTGCCAACAAGAACACATGAAGGCTATGTTGTCACAGCGAGGGCTTTGTGTCCAATTAGCATCAACATATTAGGGTTGCTCGATTTGTGCATCTAGAAAGCCTACAGCCAGATGGGTGGGAATCCCAGGCCAAGTGTGCAGTGTGCGCTTACATCAAGATCGGTTCATTTGTTCACGGCCAATCATTGTGTGGATGTGTTTACAACAGAGTCCCTCAGGAAACCAGTGATTTCACAGGAATTCCTCACAACTAAGATTAAGAGCTAGGATGTTCCACACCCTCCTGCCCTCTTCTCCTAACTTGCCGGATTGAAAGTCTCTGGCTGAAATCTTTAGACCTTTTTCATTTAACAGTAGAGCCTCCATACCTCATGATGACTCATGGACTGTCACTAGCCCCCACCGAGATACTAAGGTACTATGACCTTTGGCCCTACCCAAATTAATATTTGTATGCAAGGTATGTGTTAATAGGAAGTTTTGGATAGATTAGATCATTTTATGTTGGATACTATTATGTTACATTACATAGTTTCATAATCAATATGAGTACCCAGACAAGGTGGCCTCTAATCAGGTTGTACCAACTATGTCAATATCAGTGGAGTAAGTACAGTAGGATCCACAGTAGATCTTAGGTCTACTGTCTCAGTTTTGAAAATGTGTCAATTCCCGATGAACAGAATCATTTTATGGTTGGGGAGAAGCTGTAGGGATGATAGTAAGAGAAACTGAAGTCTCATGAGGTTGAAATTACTTGGCCAGACTCTTAACAGCCGCACAAACGAAGGGAGGGCAGTTAGCCTTTCATAATTGATTCTGTACTCTTGTCATGACCCAGAACCTTTTCAACCCATCACTCTTGATAGTATCTCTTAATCTGCGTTGACAGTTGTGATGGAGACCCAGTTCCTGTTGCAGCCTTAGATGGCTTTGGGGGTGAGGTACAGTATACCTGTGTAGGATATAAAGTTCCCCTGGAAGCTACTCCCCCTTCCTAAACATGCTCCTGAGACCCTTCTTGCAGAACCAGAGGGCATTAGCCAATCAGAGCTTATATTATCGCAGCTTCGTTTGGTTTAGCTTTTTCCTTAAGGATGACCACGATAAGACTCCCAGCCCTAACCCGAAGAATGATCCCAAGCCTATCAGGAGTGACTCTCGCCTTGACCTCACAAAACTTCAACTCCCAAGATTTCTGAGAGTAAGAATGAGCAGAGGAAAGGATACTGCTGGACCTTGGAATCACACGGACTTGGGTTTGATCCTTGCTTCTGCCATGTGCCACTTGTGAGACTTACCTGAATTCGCTTCCTTATCTATGCAATAGTGACGGTAATATCCACTGCCCACTTCATAGCGTGAGACAGGAACGGAAAGTACACAGTCTAATCTGTGACGCTTACTTGTTGCTTCATACGGGTTTGTTCCCTTTCTCTAAAAGTCCTCGAGTGACAGACAACATTTTAGGGATAGGATAGTAGAATTGGGGAATATTTGTAGAGAGAGATCATTTTAAACATCCTGACAATTATGCAAGTGAAAGCAAAGGCCAGATATCGTCAACTCACTAAACGTGCCCGGAGACATGGTGCATGAGATCTAGTAGGATACATGTTAGGGGGAAAAAAGAAAAGGCAGTAAAAGCAACGGAATTTTAGCTGTTGTCCAAAAGAAGCTGTATCCAAGGAGCACTGTTTCATAGTGACATTTGGAAAAAGAAATCCTTGGGAGAGTGTTTCTGAGGGTTGAGCGTTCCCTTCTCCTTACTCTGAGGGAGTGTCAGCACACTGTCATCTCCAGGCTTTCTGAAAAGGGAGATAATGAGGGCAAAGCGTCTGCTCCATCCATTAGGAGTTCTAGGATACAGGTTAGTTCAGTGAGAGAAGGTTGGCCTCCTGGCAGAAGGTCAAGTTCCCTGAGCCTCTGAGGCAGGAAACTCTCTGAGGCAGCCCTACCTCTGCTAAGCACTGACCTGAGATGGGGGACTGACTTTGCGATAATCCCCAGATGACGGACCCAGCCGTGGGGCTTTTTTTCTACAAATCCTAGTCTGCTCTTTTGTTGTGAGAGTTCTCTCTTTTTTTTTTTCAGGGATCGAAAATATAGTAATGGTTGATAACCTGACAAATGTCTACGCTAAGTTCATATTAAGGGAGGAAGAAATTCCAACTGGATGTGCCATTGTCTGCTGCTTTGAGACTTTTTAAATACATATCCATCAGCAGCAGGTTTTCAGGTGGATTTTTTTAAGTCTTTTAAAAAAATGAACTCATGAACCACAAGATCATGATCTCAGCCTAAATCAAGAGTCAGATACTTAACCGACTGAGCCCCGCAGGCGCCCCCCCCCCCCCAGGTGGATTTTTATGCTGGTTTTTGCCATCATCTGTCCATCCCAACCTCCTTGGTCCCTTCTCCTGGTGTAATTATTGTAAGGGTCTTTTGTTGTTGTTGTTGTTGTTGTTGTTGTTTGCCTTGTGGGTATAGATTAGCCTAAGCATCTCTGAATACAAACCTCAGCTATAAGGAAAAACTTGCCCAGGGGACAGTGACTTGTGGATGTTCAGGTTCTCCAGATGGGCCATTGACTGTGGAGTTATGCTCTCCGCAACTTGCCCTTGCACGTGTAGCTGTGAACACACACAGATGAGAGGACATTTGGTTTTACAGCACTGGCAGGACCACAGTCTTTTCTCCCCATTAATGTTTCCAAAGAGCAAACTAAGTATCTACACCAAGGGTACTAACGCCTACGTAGAGCATCTGTTAAGAGTTTAAATCACTTAGGAGCATGACTCCCAAAATAACCAACACTGTTTCCATTTGTTTTGCCATCAAATATGGTGTATTAAATGCCCACAAATGTTGTCCTGGGTTTTGTACCAAGTAACTGAAAAGAGCCAGCAATGGCTCTTTGAGAAATCATGATTTAGAATTGCTGGAAGACGCTATGAATCTTGAGCTGGCTGCTTGTTTGTTGTGTTGCTTTCTCTCTTCCCATTTTATTTTATTTTATTTTATTTTTTTCAACATTTTTATTTATTTTTGGGACAGAGAGAGACAGAGCATGAACAGGGGAGGGGCAGAGAGAGAGGGAGACACAGAATCGGAAACAGGCTCCAGGCTCTGAGCCATCAGCCCAGAGCCTGACGCGGGGCTCGAACTCACGGACCGCGAGATCGTGACCTGGCTGAAGTCGGACGCTTAACCGACTGCGCCACCCAGGCGCCCCCTCTCTTCCCATTTTAATACCTGCGTGCATGTTGTCTCGCAAGCCTGCACCTTTAATATTTTCCCTGTGGTTCTTGTTGCATTGTCTCCTTTTGAGCAATCATTGGAAAGCACTAGGGAAACCTAGAGAGGGAGAAACTCCGAGACAAGCAGGGATGTCATTTTTGTCCCAAAGGAAAGGATTGGAGTTTCTTATCTGTGTAATCAGAAGCTTTTCGTAATCTTATTTTAAGATAATCCACCATGGGATCCTTGAGCCTTGGCTTGTATCAAGAGACATGTAAGCTTTACTCCTTCTTCAGCCTGCCGTGGCTCAAGGGTTGTATCAGGTAGACTACCAAGCATCTTGTGTGAAGCTTTGGTTGAGATGCCTGCCAGTTTACAGAGATCAATTAGTCATAGCGTGGGAAGAGAATTTTCAGTAGGTGCTCCAGGGGTTTATTGAATGGCACAAAGTAGGTTAAGAAGAGAAGGGAATGAGATATACAAAGGTATATTATCTTTTTAAAAAAGATCCTTATATCACATTCTTTCTGATAATTGTGGGAATCTAAGGTATGTTGAAAGCTTCGTTGATATGCCAATGACAGCGTATTTTCAAACCTACTTTAAGTGATTTCTTACACAGCCAATTCTTTGCTAAAAGGAGGCACATTTTCTTTGCTGAAAATATTTGTTTTAGGTTGTTGGAGACTTCGTTGTTGCCACAAATGATTATCTTGAAATTCACAGGGTTGTGTTTGTAGCCTCAACTCCTCAGGACCCTCAGGCTGTCTGGTCGGGCTGAGCTTTAGAGTTCCAAACCGAATTGTAAAGACGTGACGTTTAGGAAATGGGGAGATAAATAAGAATGTGTAACTAGAAAATTGCTGTATCCAGAAAGGCTTAAATTCCCACAGCTAAATAAAGTCTTGCTTTTATACTTAAAAGGATTAATACTGAAGGATGGAACCGCTACTACCTGCTTCTCCTAAATGTCAAAACACTGAAAATTACTGAGAAATTAGCCGTCGCCAAGTGAGTTCCAAATCCTGAGTGGAACTGAACGCCTTGTGGTTTTGTGTCTCCAGGAGTGTTGGCACGGTGCTCAGTAGGGTGTATGCTGGGTATTCGGAAGGAGATAACAAGAGAAGGGAAGGAGAGAGGGCGAAAAGAAGCACAAAGGAAGCAGTAAGGGAGAAAGAAGTGTAAAATAAATAGACTGCAAGAGAGTTTGTTTTGTTAAAACACACGAGCGTGTGCGCACACAGACACACACATCCACACAGCACACAGAGAAGTTGAGGGACTTGTCTAACTCACACAGTTGCTCACAGACCTGGAACCAGAATATGGGTATATCTTGATACTATATCTCCTTCTTGTCTCTCAGCTTCACAGGGGAAATTATTCCACAAGCATTCTGAATTCTTTGAAAAGAATTATAAGAAAATAATGCGTAGATTGAAATGTCCTTGGAAGAGAATCCATGTCTCAAACTGAGTGATTTAGGCTTAAGGGAGCCAACTAAGATTTTGAAAGGCCCCAGAAAGGTTATATTTCATAGAAGGGAAGAAAATATGTTGAGGACATCTGGAAAGAAATTCAAGTTATTTCTCTGGTATTTCCTTAAAATATTTTTAATTTTGCGGCAAAATAATACACTGGCAGGCTCACATCTTACATTCTCATCCAAATTTGGACTTCTCATCCCTCCTTAGCTTCATTTTTTCCCCCTTTTTTCTTTCTTTTTGAAGTTCCCACATCCTTCTTTTCTCTCCTTGCTTGCTCTGCTTGGATTCCAACTCTGCTTGCTTTCACAACTGCCTTCGTATTCGTTCTCACATCTGTTATTTTCCTTGTGCTTTTCCTTTGCTATCTATCCTGCAGCTCTTCCTCGCCTTTTCCCCTAACCTCCTTTCCCCTGGTACTTTTCTACTGGTTTATTCGTCAGTTTCCTGTCTCTGGTTGGCATTGATCCCCGCCTTCCCCAGCCCCACCCCCCTCCCAGCCCCGCTCCCACGTGTTACTCTCCCTCCTCCAAGGTTTGCTAAGGGCAGACTGTCACTGTCTGAGATAGGACTGAGCGCTTTCCCATTATGCAATTCAGCATACCCGGAAACAGCTGTTAGGACTGTTTTGTTTCCCCCGGAGGCTCACTTTTCCAGAAAACAAACTGCTACTGGATGCTTCCGTGGCGTTGGAAGGTAGTTTGCTTGGATTGGACTTGACATTTTAGGATCTGGATTTCTGATCACTTTCTTCTCAAAATCTCAACCTCGGTATGTTATTCCAGGGTAGTTTTCCTTGGGACTGTGTCGTTTTCTTTACCAAGAGACAGCAGATCAAGAGAAATATTTATACAGTTTTAATTTTATTTATTAAGGTATTTCCTACAGAAAAAGTGACCCATTTTAAAGGTATGACTTGAGGAATTTGTGTAACATGTACAGTTCCTTAACTACCACCCACTATCAAGAGGCAGAAGGATCCCCTCATCCTAAGAAGCTTCCTTGTGCCATTTTGTAACTCCTCTTCCTTCACTCTCCATCACAGATCTGCTTTCTGTCACTGTGGTGTTGTGTTTGAACAGATTTAAGCTGTCGTTTCTTTTGGATAAATTTCTAGGAATGGAACTGCTGAGTTGTATGATAAGTATGTCTTTAATTTTGTAAGATGTCGTGATAGTGTCTCCCAAAGTTATCCTTACCATTTTTCATTCTCAACAGCAGTGTACGGGAGCTTCATTTACTCCGCACCCTCTCCGGCACTTGTTACTGTCAGTCTTTTAACTGTAGCCAATCTAATTAGTGTGGAGTCACAACTCATTGTGGGTTTTTTATTTTTTATTTTTTTTTTAACATTTATTTATTTTTGAGACAGAGAGAGACAGAGCATGAACTGGGGAGGGTCAGAGAGAGAAGGAGACATAGAATCTGAAACAGGCTCCAGGCTCTGAGCTGTCAGCACAGAGCCCGACGCGGGGCTCGAACCCACGGACCGTGAGATCATGACCTGAGCCGAAGTCGGACGCTTAACCGACTGAGCCACCCAGGCGCCCCACTCATTGTGGTTTTAATTTATATTTCCCTAATGACTAGTGATACTGAACACATTTTAACGTATCTATTGCCCATTTGTATACCTTCTTTTGTGAACTGTTTGTTCAAATATTCGCTTATTTTTAATTGGCTTGTCTGCCTTCTTGAATTGTTAGAGTTCTTTTTTTTAATGCTCATTTATTTTGAGAGAGAGTGCACGAGCACAAGTGGGGGAGAGGCAGAGAGAGCGAGGGAGAGAGAGAATCCTAAGCGGTTCCTTGCTGTCAGTGTGGAGCCCAAAGCAGTGCTCGATCTCACAAACTGTGAGATCATAACCTGAACAGAAATCAAGACTCATACACTTAACCAACTGAGCCATCCAGGTGCCCCAAGAGTTCTTTATATATTTTGGATACAAGCTATTTGTTGGATATGTATTTTGCGAATATTTTCTCTCAGTCTATTGCTTGTATTTTTTTTCTTAACTGTATCTTTTGGATAAAGTTTTTAGCCTTGATGAAGTCCTCTTTAGCAATTTCTTTTAACTTGTATAGTGCTTAAGAAATCATTGTTTAAGAAATCTTTACCTAACCCAGTGTCACAAATATTTTTTACTATGTTTTTTCTAAAATTTGTAGCTCCTATATTTAGCCCCATAAACCATATAGACTTAATTTTTTAATGGTTTTATAAGGTTGAGGCTCAAAGGTTTTTTTGTTTTTGTTTTTGTTTTTTTGATACAGATATCCAGTTGATTTAGCATCATTTGTTGAAAAGTCTCTTTTCCCCCATTGAATTACCTTAGTGAATTCCATTTATTGCCTTAAATTTCTGGGTCATGATGGTGCCATCACTTGCTCATGATACATTGTACTAATTATATATTCTTTATTCAATTTGGTAATATTTTGTTAAGAATTTTTTTTTATTTTGGATCTGCTGGTCTTTAGTTCTCTTTTCTTGTGATGTCTTTGGCTGACCAGGCATCAGGGTATTATTAGTCTTATAAAATGAGTTGGGATGTGTTCCATCTTCCTCTGTTTCTGAAGGAGTTGGTTAGGACTGACATTGTTTCTATATTTGTTTTCAAAATATAAAGATAAACGCAAAGAGAATGATATACTGAGTGTACATATCCACATACCTCCCTCAACCCTTTTCAAAGCAGTCACGTAGGGGAAATACATTGATCTGGTGATTTTCCCAATTTGGGAAGATTTCCCAATTTCCCCAAATTTCCCAATTTGTTCCCATTGATTTGTTGATTTTTCCCAATTTCCCAGAGTAAAAATTTGTAGTTTTGTTATCTAAGATCACTTTTTTGTTTTGCAGATTTGGGAATCAAGTCAAATTCTTGACTCATGGTCATTTTCTAAACAGTCCTCTGAAATTTGGAAGAATAAGTATATCTCTGAAACGGTTCAGTTTTCTGCCAATCACGAGTTATCCCCAGGAAGATGTGGTTGGTTACTAAACACATTTAAGAAACTGACACTTGTCTGGATGTGAGTCCACACGTGTTAGAAATGGCTTTTACTCTCAAGAACTTGTGCCCTCCTCTTGCTCATTAGTAGATTGTTCTTATTTCCTTTTTTACCATCCTGACTCATCATTACAGCTTTTACCACATGCAGCCTCTGGCAGTCAAAACTCTTAAGAAGCAACAGTCTCCTTGAATGTACCTGTGTCCTTTGTAGAGTGCGTAGGGGATGATGGTTTTTGCCCTACTGTGGTGGATTTCAGAGGCATGCACGCGTACACACACAGTGTGGCTCATCGTAAATTTAATCACATTTCTGTGATTAATGTTATTTTTCAAATGTGTTTTGTTTATTTCAACAGCGGCACTGGTAGTGTGGGTTTAATGTGGTTAGAAAAAGCAGCTTCTTTTTCTCTACTCTCTCACATGCTAATCTTATTTGCCATTGGTGAGGGGAGCATATGAAGTCAACGCTTCATGACATTTGATAAATACATTACCACCGTACACTGTGAGAAGCAACAAGAGACTCGAAAGCCTTGCTCCCTAGTGAAATAAAATCAGATTATTGTCCTCATAAACCATTTCTCTTCCTTAGGCTTCTGGAGTCATTGCTGCCATGTTGAGCATGGCTACTCTCTCTGGAACTAATGAAACTCTTGGCCATTATTTTTAATAAAATGGAAAATAGAGTTTGTTATCCAAATAATTTAATTAGCTTTACGTTGAAAATATCAATGGTATGTGACAACAAAGGCACACCTTTTCTTCTTTGGTGAGAGCAGATATATCTTTATATCCAGTTATTTCAGAGGTGCTGTGGAAACTGTAACTTCTCTCCCTTCTCTATTCTTCGGTGCTGACCCCAGGTTGGGTTCGGGGCTGCTGTTTCTCACCAGGCTGTGGCAGCTACAAGGAGAGAGTTCTGTGTACTCTGGCTGCTCAGTGAATTTTATTGATTTATGAAAAAAATTGTTTAATGTTAATTTATTTTTGAGAGAGAGAGACAGAGCACAAGAGGGGGAGAGACCGAGAGAGAGGGAGACACAGAATCCGAAGTAGGCTCCAGGCTCTGAGCTGTCAGCACAGAGTCCAACGCGGGGCTTGAACTCATGAACCAGGAGATCATGACCTGAGCGGGAGTCAGATGCTTAACCGACTGAGCCACCCAAGGCGCCCCTCGGTGAATTTCATTTAATGATTTAGTCATCAAAAAACTGAAAACCACTTGATGTTTACTAACAGAATCTCTGAAGCTACAATAATGAGAAGAAAAAAGTGAAGGGCATTCTATAATAATATAGTGGTAACATTTAGTTTTCCAAATGAGTTAAAATGCCAGCGGTGGTAACGTTGTGACCTTTTGGATGAAAATATTGTCGTCTTCATTCTCTACACAGTATCACTAGGAAGCCAAAAGTGATGAATATGTAAAATGATAAATTCATTCTATTTACTTAAAGCAGCTCTTTCAAGTATTATTATTAGGGGCACCTGGGTGGCTCAGTCGGTTAAGTGTCCTACTCTTGATCTCAGCTCAGGTCATGATCTCATAGTTCGTGAGATCAAGCCCCGTGCCAGGCTCTGTGCTGACAGTGGGGAGCCTGCTTGGAATTCTAAACAAACAAACATAAGTAATAAATAAACTGAAAAAAAAAAACATTTAAAGTAGTAATGTTAAATGGGTGGTATTAAAATGGAATTAAAGAAAGAAGAACTTCAGTTGTATCCTTAAAGTGAACCCAACTCTTAGCCAGACATCCCTTGATTGCAACTCTTAAGTATACATGATAGAGAGAGAATATAAGTGTCGCCAACCCAGAAGACTAAATGATGTTGGGTTATGTTTTAAAGCTTAACTATAAGTTTTGATAATCTTGGTTACGTTATTCTGGGTTCTTAACCTGTCCTACAGAGGTATAATATTTTACAACGGAGACAGAGTAGAAGGTTATACTGGTATTTTGAGGTCTAGTATTCCTTGAATTCTTAATTTTACATCAGTTCCCGATTATCCACAGGGATGGAAGCTGGGCTGGATTTTTCTAAGCAGTTGATAATTCCAAAATCAATTGCATTTGCCTGGGGGATGAGGTAAAAGAGGTCAGCCGAAATATATAGCCAAGCACGCACATGAGGACACTAAAAACCTCTGGCCCTGACCTTGACTTTGGCCTTTTCCCAGTTCTCTTGGGTGCTGATGGTTAAGTGTTATTGAAAAGAAGGTTAGATTCTTCTTCTCTTCAAAGATAACCACACACATGACTCACATGTTGAGTTCTCTCTCCAGTCACGGTGAAGGCTTTACAGTGGTGCCTCTATATCATCCAGCCCATAGCCCTGGAATTGAATTTGAGAATGGGAGAGTGCATGGCCACCTCAGGGATGCTGGTGACCAGGCAGAAGTAGAGACAGTCTGTTTCCAATTGTGCAGCTTACTTTTTATTTAGGTCCTTTGTACATCAGTTTGTACTCTTTAACGGGGATCATCATACTTGCCTTGCCAATGCCACATGCTAATGAAAGTTACGTTATTAACCTAAGATTTTCTTTTTTTAATTCCGCACTATAAAAAAAAACATGCTGCATAAAAGTTTTTATTTGCTTCTCAAGATAATAGGTTCTGTATTTTTAGAGGAAAGGCACTGCGTGAATTTAAATGCACATCATGATATACTTCAAAGCTTATAATAAAAATCCTATATATGTAGCTTAATTATTCTATCCTAATTAGCCTGATGCTGCCTTTTTACTGCACCCTTGTACATTCAATATGTTACTTATTTTATTTGAACAAGATTGACCTGAAGGCATAACTACAATGCTGTCACTTAAATGTAGTTCTTCAAGTAGAGGTCCTCAGAATTGTATTCTCTTAGGTAGAAGAATGACCCAACTCCCAGGGTAAAGCCAAAAAAAGAATGGCCTCGTGCGTTGCTCTGCACAGTGTATGTAGGTGAACGAAATCAGCAGGCTTCTCTTTATCCTACGTGTCCATAAAAAGCTTTTGAAAGGTCAGGATTCCAGGGAGACTTCTTTGTTGCCGGCATCTCAGTTTTCCCCAGGCTGTCCTTGGCGGATGCATTTATTGCCTTTCCGCTGGGTAGCAATAAGGTCACACTCTCTGGGGGGTGCGCAGGAAACTGGGACAGATGGACAGAGCCAGACGATGGATCAGAACGTTAGAGAATAGGGCCAGGTAAACAAGGAGCGGGCGTTACAGAGAGAAAAGGACCAGCATGTCTTGTATTATAATTGAACTGCCTTTCCAATTAATAAAATCAATGGGTGGCTCTGTTTAACGTCTCCCACATTTATACACTGGCCTCCGTTCCTACTGCTTTTCCTTTAGCTTCAATTACAGTCTTCAACGTGTTAACTCTAAAGGGGAGACTTCAGGAGGCAGGAAGAAATGTGTGAGACGCCTGGCGTCTGGGGATCATAATGGGCCACATCAAAGCCCTGTAAAAGTCCCTCTATCACCCCATTGTCACAGCACTGGTGTTTGTGAAGAAACAGAGGAGGGTCTCCCTCACTGCTCAACCTTAGGTTTCAAAACATCCTTGTAATATTGGCAACTGTGTTTTTACTTTTGCAGTAACTGAAATGCAGGTCGGTCGCCTCTTCCTCTGCTCTAAATTGAAGGTGGTATTTCTGAGTTCAGCAATTTGTGTCAAAACCCAGGCTGACTGGCTTATGGAAGAGCTTCTCTTGAAGGGCAAACATTGAACATTATTATTAAAATGTTAATTTCTATTAGGACTCCATAATCTAGGCTGGCTGTTTTTTTTTTTTTTTTTAGCGCAATTCACTGTATGGATTTTCTTTTTTGGTGAAGCTTTGTCTGGATTAAATCTCAGGTATCCTGTGGATTGCCTCACTTCCCTCTGCAGCCTGGTAGGGAGTGGGACCAGCTGGTGTAATTCAATTGACCTCTTTACACTGTTTTATACTCCTTTTTTTTTTTTTTTTTTAACATGAACTAGCTGTACATAACAAATTTTCTATGGAAAAGCTTTTGTTCCTTTAACATGCAGGAGTCTGCCTGGGGCTCCATGAGGTCAATGTTCATTCGGTTCATGGCCCTGATCCAGAAATATTTTTTAAGCCCATCTATTCTTAAAAGAGAGAAATACATACCACATACACACACACACACACACACACACACACACACACACACCCTATAGTTTCATGCTTCTGCTTTCTGTAGTTCTATTACTATTCTTAGATAGGATTTCTTCTCCCAAATTTAACGGGAATGTTTGAATATACTCAGATCTTAAGAATATGAGTGAAGGGTATGATTTGATAAGGCTGAAAACAAACAAACAAGAAAATAAAACCTTTTGGTTTTATTCTTTGTTTTGTTTTGTTTTGTTTAATTATTAATTTTATTTTGAGAGACAGAGCTTGCACAAGCAGGTTAGGGGCAGAAAAAGAGGCAGAAAAGAGAGATTATCCTAAAAATGCTCTGTGTGGTCAGCACAGAGCCAGACATGGGGCTTGATCCCATGAACCATGAAATCACGACCTGAGCCGATGAGCGTCAAGAATTGGACACTCAACCAACTGAGCCACCCAGATGGCCCCCTATTTTGTTTAATACTAGAAGACGTGTTGGAAGGAGAACATTAGCAGTAAGGACACATGCTAATAGAACCTGTTAAAAATTAAACTGCCATTACAATAACATGCTTGGTTATAAACCGCTTTATGTACTTTCAAATGTACTCCTTTAATCTTCTGAATACCATATACGTCAGTACAAAACAAGCTCGTTTCATAGCCTACAAATAGTATAAGCATTTGGTATAGTGAAATCTTACAAACACTTCTCTCTTTGGCTAAGTTGTGTAACAGATTGAATGCAGGTCAGTTATTTAGCAGAATAGATGATCAATTATTATAAATCTTGATCTTTTTTTAAAACAAAAAGCATATACCAAGCTGAGAAAGAAATTTACTTACAGTAAAATAATAATGGCATTTGATTTTTTTTCCATTGCCAATTACCCAATATCTTTGTTGCTGCAGAATAAACCAAAGGTATTTTCTTTTACCAGATAACTTAATAATTTCTTCCA